CCTTGAAGGAGTGTGTGACCTGGCCAGGACGGGATGGAGGAGGGGACCCAGAGAAAGGGAATCCAGGAAGTGAGGCTGGAAAAGTAAGGGTTTGCTGGTCAACCTGGCGGGGGAAGGTAGTCGGGACAGGAGGAAAGGTCTATGCCAAGGCACCAGGGGGAGGGAAGCAGCCCGCTTTTGCACCTGGTGCAGTCTGTTTGCAGTGGGGAGCAGACACCAAGGCGGCCAGCCAGATCCTGGGGGCCTTCCTTCACAAGGGCTAAGGAGCTTGGCTTGCTCCTGCAGGCCCCTGGGAGCCCCTCAGCAAGGGCTTAAGCTCTGCAACGTGACATAATCAGCTTTGCATTTTGGAAAGATCACGGAGCCCCCATGTTCCTGAGTATCTCACTGCAGCAGGACCAGCCAGATGTTGGGGTTTGTCTGGAGCAGTGAGTGATGGCTGCACATGCAGGGCAGTGAGCAGGGATTTGCATGGGCGCAGGGAGGGAGGATGGGGAGAAAGGAGTGATGTACTTTTCTGACTAGTTCTGGTCAGGATGTGCAGAGCGGAGGAAGTTAGCAATTCTTGAGTGACTATCACATGTCAGCCTTTGATATATTACCTCATTTAATTGTTGTTACATCGCTGTGAGGTAGATATTATTATCCCTTTTTTTTTTTTTTATTCATTTTTTCCCCCCAAAGCCCCAGTAGACAGTTGTATGTCGTAGGTTCACATCCTTCTAGTTGCTGTACGCGGGACTCGGCCTCGGGTTGGACGGAGATGTGGTGCCTCGGGGCGCGCCCGGGATCCGAACCCGGGCCGCCAGCATCAGAGCGCGCGCACTCAACCGCCAAGCCACGGAGCCGGCCCAATTATCCCCATTTTATAGGTGAGAAAAGCAAGGCTCAGAGAGGTTAAATAGCTTGAAATTACTAGTGAGTAAAGAGCAGAGCAAAAAGTCCAGCCCGCCTCTGCTTTCCCCAAAGCCCACCTAACTAGAATTTCTGCCCCCTCCTGTCACCTCCCACTGGAAGGATTGACTGATTCAGTCCCCTTCCTTGACAGATGAGGAAATCATCCTGGGCTCAAATGTGTTCCTGCTAAATTTGTTACTGTTTTCCAGCTGCTCCAAGTCACTGTGAATCAGATTCTTCCCTTTCAGAGTATTAGTGATGCCTCCTAATTCAGTGCTACTTGCAGATTTGATAAGCATATTTTAAATTCCTTTGCTCAGCCCATCAGCAAAGATATTGAATGAAACAGGCCCCGTGACAGATGAGAGAATGAACCACTTGCTACGCCTCCTTGAGGGGCATGGCCCCGCACCATCTGCTCACGCTTCTCCTGTATTATCCCCCTGACTCATTGGTGTGAACTCAGGCAGGCCCGGAGCAGAAGGGTATTGCCTTCCCCTTTGCCCTGTGACTTGTGACTACATCATGGAAGAATGATATGTTGGCCAAAAATAATGTGCTTTTCACAAAGCCGTGCTTCAGGGCCTGCTGGAAAGGGCATGGGGCAGAGGTCGCTCAGTCCCGGGTGCGAGTGCTCAACCCGGCTCTCGTGGAGGTGGTTTCCTCAAGCACAGCCAGGGGTGCCTGAGGCCCGAAGGCTGGATCGGGCGTAAAGCGCCTTGCCCCGTGCCAGCCCGAGGCACAGGCTCAGTCCATGGCAGCCTGCCCTGTGATCTCCACATTCTCCACACGGCAGGACCCAGATGGGAGTATGGCTTCAGGGCCTTCCACCCCGTCCTCCTGGGCTGTTTCGCTGGATTGAATTCAACAGGGGAAAAATGTGCTGAGCATCTCCTGGGCATCAGGCATGGCATGTGTGGCTTAAGGTGAAGAGTTCCGGCAAGTCTCCAGATGGCACAGGGGTTCCTGTCGGGGACCCCGAAGGCTTTCTCCACATGTCTTGTGGACACCAGGGCTGGCTGCTCCTAAATGTCAGGTGTCTTTGTTTTTAGGTCACTGCAATGTGGTAACTGTGGTTCCTTTCTGCTGACCAGAGGCCTTGGTTAGCTTTCCTATCTCTGACTAGTTCAGAATAAAAGTCAGAAAATCAAATGAATCCCTCTATAAGAAATGCAATTTGGGGGCCGGCCCCATGGCTTAGCAGTTAAGTGCGCACGCTCCGCTACTGGCAGCCCGGGTTCAGATCCTGGGTGCGCACCAACGCACTGCTTGTCCGGCCATGCTGAGGCGGCGTCCCACATACAGCAACTAGAAGGATGTACAACTATGACGTACAACTATCTACTGGGGCTTTGGGGAGAAAAAGAGAAAAATAAAGGAGGAGGATTGGCAATGGATGTTAGCTCAGGGCTGGTCTTCCTCAGCAAAAAAACAGGAGGATTGGCATGGATGTTAGCTCAGGGCTGATCTTCCTCACACACACACAAAAAAAATGCAGTTTGTTAAAGAAATAGTTCAGAGCCCAGAATTTCTGGGCCGTAGGAATCTTTCCAGACCCTATGGCCGCCCAGGCTGGTCCTGATCCACTTTGGCCCTTCTTGTCTGCTGCCCTGTGCATTCCAGTCCCGTGGGCCCAGCTGTGAAACAGTCAGAGGCTGGGCTAGGTCTAGCCTAGTGATCTCCAGGCAAGTACAGGGGCTGGGTGGGCCTCCAGCTGCCAGGGAACATGTAAGCCCTCTCATCTGGGGGCACGTGAAACCTCTACTAAGTGCTGGGCCTGTTGTAGGCTCTGGGGTGTCAGCAGAATCCCCAAACCAGTTGTCATCTGTCCTCTTATAAACCTGAGAAGCAGGCAGAATGGACACCATCACACCCGTTATATGGATGAGGAAACTAAGGGTGAGAGAGGGTGGTTCTGTAACTAGCAAAGGGATGAGCTGGGACCTGTGCACTTTGGTTTGCTCTGGCCCTGTGCCTTTCTGCGACCTGCATGGACTCTGACTATTTTGTAAATGCTGAGTTACCTGGTCAGAACGATCGAGACGGTGCCCATTTAGCAGTGGTGGAATCAGACTGAAAGCACCATCTCAGCTCTCTGCAGTCGTGTAGATCCAGTTGAAACCTTCACAGAGGTTAAGCTGCATTAGTAATATTTCCTTTCTGTGTGATTCAAGTGATCCTTTCTCATATGGGGTTATCTGTGGGACCTCGGAAGACAGCTTAGAACCAGCAGGTCTGGCCTGCCACGGGGCGTGTGCCCCCAGGCCACCCTCAGCCCAGGCCTCCCAGAGCTCTCATGGAGGCCTTCCACCACTTGGCTGTTCCCCCTTTGGCCTTTCTGCCCTCATGGCTTCTCTGCTGTGTTTTTCTGAAAAGAGCCTCCTATGGGTGTCTGGTCCCCATGCAGCCTCTCTCTCCACTCTGGATCCCCCTCCTGCCCACAGATGCGCATGGGGCTGCCATCACTGTCTTCTGTTCCAGACTCTTCTCGGCTGGGCTCCTTGAATTGTCTCTTCAGCTCCTTGATCCTCGTTGCCATGTTGTCCTGCACAGCTTATCCACAGTGCCGTCTCTACGGTCAGCCGTGACCACCCCTAGCCAAACCACTTTGTCCTCTTTGACTTCCGTGCATCTGATGACATCGACCTCTTGGGTTGGCAGCTGTCTCCTTCCTTCCACCCACAGTACACCGTGTCCTCTTCCTATTCCTCTGAACACCCTCTCCCTCACCTTCATGTGCTCTGCCCTCCCTCCAACTTGACCATGGCCTCCCCCTGGTGCTAAGGCCTGGTGCCCCTGCTCATCTTCCACTTGCATCTCTTTGGAGGACTCCCAGAACCTCAGCTGTGACACCCCTAAATCTCCCTCCCGGGTGGGTCTGTCCCACAGACATGCCTCGAATGGACCGACGGACGGATGGGGGGCTGGTGCCACTCTTCCTATTGATCTAATATCTACAACTGGTCGCAGTAGGTTTCCATGTGCATGTCCTACCATCACCTGAAAATTAATGTGGCAAACCACAAGCTATTTTGAAATCACAGAAAGTGAAAGTTGAGTGGGACGTTGAAGGCCATCTTTTTTTTTTTTGAGGGCCATCTTGATTAAATCCCCAGGAAGCCTGGCCACCTTCTCTTTCTTTTCCATGGCACCAGCGCTGCTCTGGGTTGACTCCCTCCCCAGGGTGGACCGCGAAGCCATCTTTGGGTGCTGACATCATGAGGGCGTGAAGAGCAGCCTGTGGTCCCTCTGCTGGGTCAGGGTCCCTTTCTCTTTCCTTCCCCAACATTGTTTCTGCTCATGATTAGTCATGCCGGAGCCGGCTGAGTCAGAAGCGACTTGTGGGTGGTTTGTGGCCAGGCTGGAGCAGCGAGGCAGGAGGACTTTCTAGGTTTATGTCTCTGTGCCCCATGAGACCACAATGGCCCTGTTCTAGCTGGTACTTGGTGACAGGTGGGTAACAAAACCAAACTTCTGGTCCCGAACTCGGTGAATGAGGGGGATCAAGATGAGCCAAGACATGGTCCCTGAGATGCTCCTGTGGGGTGACAGGCGTGTGTAACGCCAGTGCCACATGACCAACACTTCAGGGCAGGTGTATTTACAGCAGTTGTGCAAGTCCTCCATTGCCTGTGATAGTCCTCATTCCAAATGATGCATGTACTTCTCATATACATTGCTAAATTTAATATTTCTTTTCTTGTGATTTTATTCTTTTCAATAAAGGTGATTCATTAAATATATAACTAATTTTTGTACTTGTATAAGATTTTTTTCATATAAATAAACTCATATATTTCAGAAACAAATTCTTTGTCAGAGCATATGTTATAATTCTGTGGTTCAGAAAATGTGGCCGCCCGGAGGGAGAGCTGCATTCTGCAGGGGCAGTGGGGTCTGCCCTGAAGTCCCCCACGAGGGTGTATTTAAATGGGGCTCTAAGGGGTGGCTCAAGCTTTACCAGGCAGGAAGGGAGTGAAGATCATCCCTGCCAGGGGGAACAGCATGGCACAGCCCTAGAAGCGAGGCTGTCGTGGGGGAGGGCCGGGGAGGAGGCCGCTTGGATCCAGCCCTGGCTTCACAGGCTGTGTCTGTGCCCGCAGGAGGGAGAGGAGCAGGAGGAGGCTCGTGGCAAGGAGGAGCGGCAGGAGCCCAGCACAACTGCACGGAAGGTGGGGCGGCCTGGGAGGAAGCGCAAGCACCCCCCGGTGAGTGTCGTGGCATCCTCCCAGCACACACACGTGCGCACAGTGGTGTGTGTCCTGCAGGGACTCGGGGACAGTACGACTAGGCCCTGGGGCACGCCCCGCGAGCTGCAGAGCTTATTTACATTCCCCATTCTTTGAGCCCCAGAACCACTCTCACAACTCCCCTATTTTCTACATCAAACTGGAGGCCCCCAGAGGCCAGGGGACTTGCGCTGTGGGTAGTAGCAGAGCTGGGACTTGAACGAGGCCCCTGACTCCCAGCTTCCTTCTGGAAGGGCTGCAAGAGGGTCTTACAGATGCCTCAGGCCGGGCCGGTGGCTTTGACAAGGCAGGATTTGATTCTCCTTCCCCATCCACATGCCCACCCTGGGCCTCAGCCCTCCCTAGGAGAACCTGGAGGAAGGGACTGAGATCTGGGAGTCTGGTTAGAGTGAGTAGGGAAGAGATGCAGGGCAAGAGTCCTCTTGTAAGAAAGGAGAGCTGGACCCTGTTTACGTCCCGTGAAGGTGCAGGCCACAGGGGCGGCTGAAAGCCCCAGGCTTCTGGGTGCCATTCCTCTGAGTCTGGGGGAAGCCCTGTGGTTGCCCAAGATGAAGAGTGCTCCAGAGGGCAATGCCTGTAGGCTGTAGGAGCCTGCCTTCCTTATGCCCTAAACTCAGGGGCAGAACAGTAATTATTTGCCAGCCCCAGAGACAGCTTCTTCCCTTCTTTTAGCCCTTTCCAGCTGAGAATGGAGAACTTGGAGCAAGAAGGTAAGGGGGAGCCAGGAGCTCTGGATTTATAGCTTAGGCCTTCTAGGAAATGTTCTCAGCGGGGCAGGATTGTCTCCCGTGGGATAGATAGTTGGGCTGAAGTGAAAGGGGACAGCAGAGGAGGAAGGGCTACACCAGCTGGAGGTGAGGGGCTTCTTAGAGCCAGGCGGTTTGGGAACCTGCTGGGTACTAAAGTGCACCCCTGCCAATTCTGCTTGAAGATTTGGCGGGGAAGGGGGGCAGAAGTTAAGTATTTAACTGGTAAGTAATTTTAAACTCTTTAATATTAAAGCAAACATGGATATTTTATGGCCTGGAATGAAAAATTCACATGATGTTGAAAGATAAAACAGCGGACTTCAAAGGAATTTCCAGCTTGCAGCAACCTCCAGGCTGTACTCCCAGATTCCCTCCACTGTGCGCCGAGTGCCCTCCATTCTCCTCCCCCACAGGGCACGCACCTGTGGGAGAAGGTGGGGGGCACAGTGCAGGCTGGAGTGGGCGGGGGAACCAGGCTGAGTCAGAGCCCACGATAATTCCATATCTGATCTGCAGAGCAAACTCTGCCTTTCCCCCATCCGGGTGCTGGGGACAGGAGCCACCGCCTATAGCGACCTGGCAACCCTTTGACTCATTTCTTTGAGTCCCTGGAACCAGAGGGAGGGCACAGCAGTGAGAGGTGGGGTGAAGCCCCGGGGCAGAGGGTGCAAGGAGATCAGAGGCCAGTGTTTGGAAGGAAAAGCACTGTCTTTGGAGTCTGACAGACCTGGGTTTTAAGTCCCAGCTCCACCACTGAGCACCTGTATGACCCTGAACAAGTCACTGCCTGAACCTCGGGTTCTGCCTTCTGAAAAATAGAGATGATAGGGATGCATTCCTCCTAGACCCCAATGAGAATTAAATAGGTTCAAGCACCAAAGAGCCATTTCTCAGCAAAGATCGGTCCTGCCCTTGCACGGCCAAACCTTTCCTCTTTAGGAGGCCGCAGCAACCTTAGTTGGACAGAAGAAATAGCACTGGATTTACCGCTTCCTAGCTGTGTCACCTTGAGAAAGTTACTGAACTTCTCTGAACTTCTGCTTCCTCATTGGTAGAATGTGGCTGCCAGTAATACCTGCCCTGCCCACCTTCAGGGGTGCTTTGTAAACAGCCAAGTGGAGTCCAAATGTGCAGGGCTGGCTGGGTAATAAACCTGGTCCCCTGCAGGGGCCAGTGGAGCCAGTGTCTCCAAGGCCTTTCAGGTGGGAGCCTAGCATCGGCCTCTCAGCAGCCCTGGTGGGAGGCAGTGTATATCCTGTGCAGGTCATAGGCTGGGTGTGGTCCAGCCTATGTCCTGAGTGACACCTGCAGCCACCTGGACTCTCCAGAGAGGCCCCAGGATGGGAGAGAGAGCGTAGAGAAGGCAACGCTCACTGGGGAGGCAGCTGTTGTGAAAGGGACCCCTTGCACATTGGAGGAACAGAGAAAGACTGACCCCAGAGAAAACAGCCAGCAGACCTTCCTGGGCAGCAGGCCCCTGGGCCCCCAAGGGAGCCCACATGGGTGAAATGTGTGCTGCAGCTAGGGGTCAGACCCTGGTCCCCGGGCCCACAGGCCATCTGGTTCGCTTGTGGAGCAGGTGATTGCCCTGGCCTCCTCCCTTCCCCAGCAGAGGAACACAACAGGGAGGGCTTCTTGGGGACCTCATGCAGCTGTGGCCCTGGGAACAGATTGACCAGGGAGCTTTAATGAAGCTGAGTGTGTGTCATCCAGCTAAGCCTGGAAAGGGGAGGGAGCTTGGCTCAGATCCCCACAGGTGGAACAGAGGGGGAAGTGCTGGGAAGCAAGAGAGGAAAACCTAGCTGCAGGCCGGGGTCTTTATTTGTGCAAATGTTGTGTATCCAACGCTGGACAGGGAAGGATGAGGTACGTCCACTAGTCTCCTCACCTTCCCCCGGCCCCAAGGCTAAGAAATTAGCTCTCTCCTCCTTTTGTCCCCAAGGCCTATCTGTCCCATCTGTCCCTTCCACTCATTCCTGCTTCTGCATCTGCCTCCTGGCTGTACCCTCCCCCAGACCAGACCCCACCTGCCCCCAGTAGGCTTTCTAACTCCCCAGCCCTTCCTCCCTTCAGTGACAAACAGTTTACACCTACCGAGCACCTACCAGGGTGAGGAGGCCACATGGATAAATAAGACTTATCTTCCAACCTAGTGTGCCAGAGAGGAGGCCACACGTAATATACTGAATACAGTCCGTGGCACATCTCTGTTCAAGAATCTCCAGGGACTCGAAGTCTTATGGGACCAGATCTGGAATACTCCATCTGGCTCCACCCCATGTGATCCCTCCTGCCCCTGCACAGGTGCTCAGCATCCACCTCTTTTGCCATAGAAATCCCATCTCCTCACTGCTCCCTGAACACACTGAGCACAGCTCTCCCGCTGCCTCACATGCCGCTCCGCAGCCTCCCGCCGTGTCACTGTCACAGCCCATCAAAGCCTGTCTTGCAAATGACAGTTTAGCCGTCATGACCCACACTGGCTCTCCCTTCTGAACTGTTTGTAAAATTCATTAAAATGAACACTAAGAAATAAAAGACCAGGTACAAGCTGGCAGTGGGCCACAGACCTGACTTTGAGAAGCACCGGTCTGCAAACTGTTTGTTACCTGTCTATATAGAACTTGAGAATAAGTATCTAGAAATTTTTACATCAGTTTGATACTGTCATCATATCCACATGCATGGTTTTGTATTTTACAAAAGTATCATTTCTTGATGGATAGGGAATTATTTATTTTATTTATTTATTTATTTATTTTCTCCCCAAAGCCCCAATAGATAGTTGTATGTCATAGTTGCACATCCTTCTAGTTGCTGTATGTGGGACGCGGCCTCAGCATGGCCGGACAAGCAGTGCGTTGGTGTGCACCCGGGATCCGAACCCGGGCCGCCAGCAGCGGAGCGCACACACTTAACTGCTAAGCCACGGGGCCGGCCCGATGGATAGGGAATTAGAAAAACCAAAAACAAAACCTGGCCATTCACCCTAGATAGCTGGAAAAACAGGTGGAGAGAGCTTCTCTTTTCCATTAGATTTGAAAGTGCCACCCCACATTGCACTGTGGACCCCACCCCACTGAGGACAGAGGCCATGAATAGACGCTCAGAGTTGTGCAGCACATTATTGCCTACAAAAGCCTTCCACAATGGTGACCTCATTTGATGCAGACAGCAAACCTGTGTGAGGTAGGTAGGGGCCGCTGTCATTACCATCCCCACATTTGGATGAAGAGACTGAGGTTCAGAGAGGATGATTGGGTCTTGGACTTCACACTTCTCAACTATAAAACCCACAGTGCTGGTTCCTCCTCACCACTCCAGCCACACGATCTGGAAGACTGGGTATCCAAAATTCCCTTTAACACATGAGTGCAGGGTGTTTGAAAAAGGGTGTAGATCTGGTCCAAAAAGCATACAGAGAAAATATAACTGAGGAGGGCTATTGACCCAAATACCAGGGAGTCTGTGGGTAAGTGGGGAAGGCTGCGGTGGTCTGAGGAGTGAAAGTTGGGCCCGTTAAAACTGGGCAGCGGCATTGGTCTGTGGCAGTGGCCTCAGAGCCAGGATGCTTGCAGCCAGAGCCGGCAACAGGAAACAGGAAGCCGGCCACAGGGCTGGGCGGGGCTTAGGAAGGGAGCTGGCACCTGGGCCCAGGGCCTGCAGGCTGGCCAGTGCCCATGACAGGGAGGAGGGGACAGAGAATGTGAGCCTGTGTGTGGGTGTGAGCGCCGGGGCGGGAGGAGAAGGCATCTTCCTGTACACCAGCTCCCGAGGACAGTGCACAGTAACAAGTGAGGGTGTCCGAAGCTGGTTCCTGCCTGGTCACCAGCCCAGACAGCCCCGCGACTACCTTCCTCCTTCCTGCTGCTTACAGCTGGGGCACTAGGAGGGATGGTTTCTGCCCTTGCCCACTGGATCCTGAGGGGTGACGGACCCTTTGGGGCTCCATACCCTGTTTACTAGCCATATGTATTTATTCATTGAAGATTTATACCCACCAACTTCCTCCAGGGTTATTTTTGCTCAGTGGGAGCACTCTGAGGTCACCTCTTGCTAAGAATAACCCAGAAAGAGAGGGAGGGGGAGGGAGGGGAGGAGGAGGGGGCTGGGAGTGAGCTCCAAGCTGCGGCAGGCCGGCCCAAAGCCAGCGTTACTCACTCCACGTTGGAGGCCGAACCTCCAACACGGCGGCACCCGAGTGAGTGA